TTTTTATAATATAAGTTTGGATTTGCCATCGCACCACCTGCTTAAGGGCTATCCTGCAGAGGAGAAGGAAGACTTCACTAACAGACTTTTTTTTTTAAAGAGAAGCCCACACAGGGTTCGTTGGAAAAGAACCCCACAGTTGGAAGAAAGTACTGTGAACGAGATGGAGATGGATACAGTTTTGTTTAAGATTGTTTGGTTCATGTTTTTGTTTAATTTGTTTTTTGTTTGTGACGCATTATTAGAAAAAATGATGGGAAGAGGATGTTTAACAATATGAAACATATGTCTCATGGGAGAGAGTTTGAAAGTTCTACCATTTACATAAAATATGTCCAAGCAAGACCTTAAAATAGTTACATTTAACTATTGGTAATGGAGTACCCTATTTAGAGAAGTAAGATTTTGTCTAAATGAAGAAAGAAGGGGCTCATTGCTTGCTTTTTTACAAGAAACATATTTAAGTGTACTGGAACATGAGAAATGAAGGAGAATGGCGACGATAACACCAGAAGAATTTAATTCAGTGATTACGAGCCTCAGAGCTAATAAATCACCTGAAACTGATGGTTTTAATTCAGAATGGTATAAAACCTTCTGAGCAGAATTAATAGCAAATTTTCTTTCTGCTTGTAACTCGGCATTAATTGGTGGAAAAATGCCCCCATCATGGAGAGAGGCTATCATCTCAGTTACCCTAAGGAGGGGAAAGATAGATTAGATTGTGGATCATTCAGACCAATCTCAGTCCTTAATGTGGATTATAAAATTTATACAGCAATACTGGCTAAAAGAATTGAAAAGATTCTCCCTCATTTGATACACTGTGGTCAAACAGGGTTTATTCAAGATAGACAAACCCATGATAACATTCAACACACATTGTATATAATGAGCCATATTCAACAATATAATTTAGAAACTTCTTTGATGAGCCTAGATGCTGAGAAAGCTTAGTTGGAAATACCTCTATAGGGTCTTAGGTAGGTTTGGTTTTTGTGGAAATATTATCAAAGGTATTCAAACTTTATATGATAGACCAACAGCACAAATTAAAATAAATGTTATCTGATAGAATAACTTTAGAATGAGGGACTAGACAAGGCTGCCCTTTATTTCTATTCAAACTTTATATGATAGACCAAGAGCACGAATTAAAATAAATTGATATTTATCTGATAGAATAACTTTAGAATGAGGGACTAGACAAGGCTGCCCTTAATGCACCAATGGCCCTGGTGGCCTGTTCATCTCCTGGGACTCTTGGTATATAGGCAGATCCTCTTTGCTCAGCTCTGGTTACTCATGGGACACCAGACACTTGTTCCTCCCTCATAACTAGGAACTTTTGGAATGTAGACATATTCTCCCCCTCACCTCTGGGGCCTCTTGGGTCAAGGGCCTGATCAAACCCTGCTCCTCTATCAACGTTGATGCAGCAAGTTTTGCAGTTTCATTGTGGCTCAGAATTTCAACTAATCTGGCCCTTTATACCAGGTCCTCCTGTGTCTGAAGGTCTTCCAATTTATCTTCATTGTCTGCAAGAATCACATTCACTGACACTCTGTAATTTGCTAAGAGACTTCTCTGCAACCTTCAGCTTGATCAATAGGTGCTGAGTCACTTTGGTTAACTGATCGAAGACAACTTGTGCTTCCTACTTGAATTACGGCAGCCATTTTTCCCCATTCTGCCTTAATGGGAATCTAGAACAACGCTAGAAGTACCTCCTTCATCTCTTTCTGCCATTGCCTAAGCTGTTGTTGCATAACAACCTTCCCAATCTGAGTAGAACTGACTTCTTCTTGGTATTTATTTTTCAGCAGACATCAGTACTTTCAAGGATTTCTAAACTTTCCAGCTAAAGATTATATTTTTGGATCTGTAATTGTGTACATTCATCATACAGTTGGAGATTCTTCCTGTTTTTATTTATGTCCTCTTGATATGTTGTTAGGGGGGCTTCTGAGTGAGGATTCTCTCCACCAACTGTCTTCTCTCAGCAAAGACCTGGCTGTGCTAGGACTGTAGAGTTTCCAGCAGTATGCACCATCACTTCGGCTTCAGAACCTTCACTTCTACTTTGGCACTGAATGCCCTAGACAGGAGATCTGGGAGGGAAGCTATCACCCGCTTGACCTTCTCTGGCTCTGCCTGTAGGCCATGGACTTCAGCTGGCTGATCATGCAGCCTTAGCAGATATTTCTCTGCCTTGTATGAATACCTGCACTTTCCTTCCCTGACTGGTCTCTAATGCACACACCCTGTAGCACAGATCCTCACAGATGGCTCAGAGAAATGACTTCTTCATTACAGTAGCCTTCTGAAAATACTGTCAAACACAGAACCAGTAGCAGAAAGCAATCTGTGTCTTCTTGGTTGGAACCTTTCTTATGGTCTGATTCTTTTTGAAGTGCTATAATGCCAGGTCCACACTACCAAGAGCACTGATGAGTGGTTATGGTATTAATTTTAAGAGGTGTTGACCCACCATCCTTTGATTTCCAGCTCTTTGGGCCATTTAAGAAAACTCACTAATGTGTAATCACTCGTGATGCTTTGGTGTAGCCACTTTGAATTCTTATCTGTTCTTGGGTATAGGAACGTGAATGTTCTGTGCAACTTTAAATAAGGGCAATGACTTCACACAAATAAAATTTCCACTTTTTTGTTTTAGATGAACTATTTGTTTGTATTGGCTATGTGTTTTCTATCACTGGTAGACTGCATTGTGAGCATCTCCCAATAGGTTAAAAATCATTTTTTTCTACAAAGAGGTACAGTACAGTAGCTGACATATTATATGGCAAAATGTTTCTGTATACTTCAGAATTAATTCTACTCCACCTCATCATTATTTCCATTATCAGCAAAGATGAGTAAGACTGTTCCAGGGTCAGCCACTGGGGCCCAGACCACGTTATTACTTCCTTCTCTCTTCACAAGTGAGACGGTATTCCTTTAAACATATATACTTCCTTCTCCCTCCACATTTGAACTTTTCTAGAGAAATTTGACAAAGGATTATTTGAGTCTCACCTTTTCATAAACCTTTATTCCAGAGCCCCCTTGGCACATCTTGATATTTCCAATCGAACTCTAATCTGTCTTTTCCGGTTTTTGGTTATGATGGTTATGATGAAAGGTTTACATTTTGCAGTGCAGCATTTGAAATTCTGCTGTGTCAAATCTTTGAGAGCTGTGGATTTTTATTCCTTAACCTTTGCACTCTGGATTGTTGGTAATTTCTATGAAAGTTGTTTTAAAGTTTTCCTTGAAAGCTCTGACGATTTTTCTGGAATAAGCTGCAGATGTTTTTCTATGCCAACAAGTTCTTGGCTGACTGGTAGTTATACCCCTTGTATTTTTCTTTTTCAGTGCATTCCAAATTGTAGATTTTGGTACACCCAATTTCTGTGCTATGGGTCTAATTGAGATTTTTTTATCAGCTTCACAATTACCTGCATTTCTTAAACAGGGTGTTCCTAGTTTTCACTTTGACTTGCAACTACAGACTCCAAACACTGAAGTCACACAGATACAGGTTTATAGGATGTTCTTTTATGAGAGTCTAATTATCAAACAACAAAAATATGTCAGATTTGGTACTTTGATTATCACAGTATGTTTTTAAGCAAGTATTATCACAGTATAATTTTGCTTATAATAAAAATAAAAAACTGTTTTATCAGTCATGAGCTATTTTATCAGTCATGTTTTTTGTTCACATTAAATTATTATTGGAATTCATAGTGAAAATCCCACTTTAGACTTCACTGTCCTCAATCTTTTGGAAGGTAATGTCTATATTATTCAACTAGGCATTAGTTAGAATCTATAGAGATTATCTTAAAATGATTATTTTGTACTTTAAATATGCTACATTTCTATACATTATGGCCTGGAGCACACATGATGAAGGGAAACAAAATCAAGCACTGGTTACAATTCTAGATTGTTCTTCTTTACTCCACAGTCTGCTTTGTAACCATGAATGCTCAGATGACCTTTCTAAAATGTACCTACAGCTGGCCTGTTCTGTAGAAATAAATGAAAGAGCACTGAGGATCTGGAGATTGGAAGGGCTTTATTTCTCAGCAGGATATTTGCAAGAAGGAGGGCTGAACGGGGTATTTACTCCTTCCACTTTACGAGTGCATGAAAAGAGATTTACCTTTCACTTTGTCCAAGTGCTTAGAAAATCCCTCTACAACATTGCACCTCTGACAAAGTTCAGATCTTATGTGGCTCTTTCTTAGGAAGGGATAAGAAATCTTTTCCCCCTTTTTTTCACTGAGATTAGCGGTTGTTGTTAAGGCAGTGGATTTTTTTTTAAATGGACTATAAATGTGAGAGGGGAAAACTCCAAAAATAACACATAAAATACAGCTTATTTGAAGTAAAAATATTAATGTAATTGTAGAAACTAATCATTGCATTTAAAAACAGTGCATGGTATTACAATATCCTAGAATCTGTTAGACGTCCTTTATACAGAGATGTGAAAACATATTTTGAAGGAAACCAGTGATGATGTACAGTAGCCTTAGATCGTGATTTGCAGGCACTTTTCCAACATAGCTAAAAGAGAAAAACACTGATTAAACTAAATCAGACCAGGTTTTGATGTGATACAATCACTTTTTTTCTACTTTGTCATACATTACATTTTTTCTCGCTTTACTCCTGATGTTGAGTTTTCCTCCAAATAGGTATAACAAGTGAATATCAGCATTTTAAACATTAAGTAAATGGAAAGACTATTTCCATTGAATCTGCTACTGTATATACAATGTGCTTCATAACCTGCAATATTAATGTAAATAAAATACTGTAAAAACAAGACTTAAAAAACTTTCAAACCCAACCCCAGAAGGTTTTTCTGGCTTTTATTTTTTTTTTGTAATACTAAATATTTTATTTTTCATATGAATTGAACATTGCAGTTCTTCCTGATGCTAGCTTTGTAACAGAGTGGGAAAATATAATTTATTTTACAGACCTGATGGAATTGGGACAGTGACCATTGAAGAGAAAGAACAATTTGAAGAAATTAAGTGCAGACTTCTGGCTCTTCTTGAAAACCAGATTATCCACTTCAGGTAAAGACCTATAAACGTGCATGGGAATAAAAAATGCATTGTCCACTTATATTGTCTTTGTTATTTTTAAGTCATGACTTTAATTTCTCTTGGTTATGTAAACTATTGCTTTTACTAATATATTTTGACCAGCTGATCAGCCTTTCATACTAAAATATTGCTGTGTTAGTAGAAAGATTAAGATTTTTAAAAATCAAATATTTAGGGTGTAAAATAATGTTTTAAAAGAAAAGACTAATTAGGTTTCACATCTTTACTGCTTCAATATACTGCTTTTCACTTTATGTCCCCTAAAGATGAGTGTAACTGATAAACCCTATATGTTAATAACATACTTTTTAAAATTGTTATCTGCTGTCCTTTACATGTTCCTAAAATGTCATACATTGTGTAATTCAGATTGTTTTTATATCTAAATTAGCACACCTGTGTCTATAAAGAGAGCCAAGAATGATGATAAAACCGAATCAACAAACTTTTTTGTAGGGACCCAAGTTTCTAAAGTGTGTATCACAATACAATGGTCTAACTAGAACACTAATGCAGATTTTCTGTTCCCACTAATTTCATAGCATGTGGGAGAGCTGAGGATAGGATATTATGATAAGAGGATGTTGTTTTTCTGATGTTCATGCTCAATATCTCAGTAGCTTCCCTGCAGTGAAAATATGATTCTGTTTCATCGCTATTCTTTGGTTAATTTATGAACCAGGGTATGCGAATTAAAGTATAAACACTTTCTTATTTGTGTCGAACATTGTATTTTTGGAATACATACAACACAGTGGGGAAAGTAATATGTTAATTATCAGAATCACAGGGTGTTTTGCAACCTTTGAATAACTAGGAAAAAAGAAAATTCTAATGACATTTTTCTCAGCAAAACATAGTACATGGGATGCTTTTTAAAAAAATATATTATTATTTTTATTCCCACAGAAAATATAGCAATGATCATCTTACAGAAGATTTCTGTACGTTTTCTGCTAAATATGGCACAAAGAATAAATTGTGAAGTTGGGAATGTTATGAGTTAATTACTTACTAGCACATATATTTAATCTGTTTTTTAAGCATTGAAATGTTTTTTATCTGTTGCTTATGTTCTTTACATATCATAAAACATGAATAGCTCTTCAAAAAATATCCACTTGGGACTCTACTGATTGGAATTGGTGAATGTAACCTTAGCATCATCAACATCTACTCATCAATGCCTCTCACTAATAGACTAATAGGAGTAAACAATGGGTTAAAGAATGTATGGATTATGCAAATATGTAGAGTAGGACTGGCCAGTAGGAGGGAAATGCAACAACAAAAATCACATAGCTCATTTGCAATCAGGATTAGGTGGTAACACAGTGAAGCTGATTAAGACTATTTTACTAATTTGTTAATGCCCCCAAGGGGGAGTGTTGGAGTGTCAGCACACGGTGGGATAATGGGTACAAGTGGAAGCCACTTCAGTAGTTAAATCTTTGGTTGCACCTGCACATAGATTGCACTAGCAATCTTAAAGACTTTTAACTAACTCAGTAGGAGGATGTCCGAAATTTTGCTTTAAATTCCCATAACATGTACCCTCTCCAAACAGGTTATTCTAATACAAAAATATCTCTCTCTTTAAAAACATATCAATAATGATGTGTTCCTCTCCATGACCAAATCAGCAAACATGCATTAAACAAAACAACCATCAAGTTAACAAGCATGATTCAGAATCTCACATAATATATCGAACATAAAAGTATAGCAAAATCAGCACTAGCAATTCTGCTGTAATAGAAATACAGTATATATTCTGTTTGTGACTATTTAGACTAGAAGATAAAGAAATATTGCACAACATATTACTATCATTACTGTTGTTAATATTATTATTGATAATAATCTATATAAAGTAATTAATATTATACAGTATATATACCAGAGATAAAGTAGTATTGCATATCGTATAATAAAAGCATAGACACAACTTACACAATCTGTCATCTAATTAGTCATTATAAATTATTATTGTAATTATTTTACAGTAACAGTAGAGCTGAAAGGTCCAAAAGTTACTTCTTATTTTCTGTCCTTTTTATTACAGGTACTGTTTCCCATTTGGACGTCCAGAAGGTGCTTTAAAAGCTACTCTTTCCTTGCTTGAGAGGGTATGTCTGGGATTTGTTTATGCCTTGTGATCTGTGGGTTGGCATATATTGCAAATGAACAGGTGGTCAAATGAAATACAGTACATTAATATTATACAGTATATATATATCAAATCTTATATTTTTAAAATTTTGATAAGTTATTGTAAAGTTAAGACTAGGGGGTCAGTGTAATTTAAAGAAGGTGAGTGGTGAGTGGGGAGTTATTGCGTTGATATAGCGAAACAAAAAAACTGCTTCTTTTGAACTCGCATGCCTTGTTGTAAACAACAAGGAAAAACGTAAAAAAAACGTTATGAACACATTTTAGAGTTTGTTCATTATCTCTATATTAATGTCAGTTAAATACCACGCTCTTATCCCTTTTCGTTTGCAGTGTAGCTTGTAATTTATTCAGCTAAAGCGGAAAGTCCAAAACATTTTACACTGCTATTTTGCATGCTTTCGTTACATATATTTTTTTTATTAAACTTTATAACGTAGAACAAATATGAATTAGTACGCAACATTAAACTCAGGTATTTATGAGAAATTGTTTGATAGGTCCAGCCTTATTCTTTCCATAAGAAAACAACCAAACAGACGTTTTGCTATTTTGCATGCATTCAACATATGGTTGTCTGAAAAGCAGTGTCCTTTATTTAAAAGCGGTTATTACATCTTTTTTTTACGATTTTCAGTCATTCAACCCGTTCCTACATCTGTAGTAATGTATTTATGTCATGTAGTCAGGTAATTCATGTTCTACGTATGTTCAAAATGTCGGTACAACCGAAACTAAAACCACGAAGTCAGCGTTAAAATGTAGTAAGTTTTAAAAATATATAAATTCAGAGCGTTGGTGGACGAAAGCGCCAAGGGATTGGGTGCTGAACTGAGAGATTATTACACTTAGTTGCTGTTGATTTTTTTACCGTATGTGTTGCTCATAGAGCGACCTCATACAGTATTTCTTAATCACCCAACTCAGAAATAAACACTTCAATCTTCCAACTGGAGCATCAAAACTTTGCAGGAGACTTGTATCCTAAACGTAGAGGCTTGCGGATTGTGATTGCTTATTTTTCTTCATTATAAAATGTGATTTGTATAAAATGTGAAAAAGTGATTGTTGGTGCTGTGTATGCTTATTATAAAGTCAAAAGTAGACACTCTCACTTCTGATTAAAGACGGTGCGTAGCGACCCGTACTAGTATCAATGTGTGGTGTAGTTCGCATTTCTAATGTCGTCCGGAAGTTTCGTTCATGTTCGTTAAGGTTACAGAGAAAGACAATATGTTCAAGTACAGCAGCTGATCTAACCTGACTAGCAGGAACAAGGCACGTGTGTTATGTCAACCAGCCAGCAACTCTCATAAACAGACGCAGTATGTGCTTCATGATACAGTCTAACCTGGCAGGCATAGATAAAAAAAAACTCTAGGAACTGTAAACGTTTTTACAATTGATTAGTACCTGTATCAAAGACCTCGATTTAATACTTTTGACCTACATATACTATAGGTGTTGTATAAATTAGTGACATAAATCTTACCCCAGAGAGCTACACTTCAATGTCTGAAAGTACTATTTATCTTAGGAAATGTGAATAATAGCAGTCCACCGTGGCAACATAAATCTAGTTTAAATTTAAGGTGCTATGCCCATGATGGATTTTCAGTAGTATTTTATCATTAGTTTTAGTAACTAATTGCCTAATTAATAAAATGAGTGAGGTTCGTGAGCTACTGTTAAAAGGCTCTATACTTCAAACCGAAGAGTCGTGGTCTGTAATTCCGAGTATGATGCTGCTGTTGTACCCTTGGGCAAAGTGCTTCACTCACATTCCTACAGTAAATACGTTCTGTATAAATGAGTCTCCAGTACGTCATGGTTCTCAAGTGCTGTACTCGGTAAAATTTAAAGAGTAAAAAGTAACCGTTTTATCCTCCTTGTATTCTTTGCTGAATGTGCGAAATAGGCATCGAGAATTCTAATACCTATTTACTCTTCGTAATGATCTATTCACGCGTTCTTAATAACAAATGTCGTTTTATGATCTGCCAATAGTAAAACGCCCATTTTTATTTTTGTTGTTCATTTAACATGTATGTAAATAAATTTATTTTACTTTCCGGATTTATCAGGTTATTTTGTGCTCATATTGCATCGAAGAAACGGAAGACTACAGCTTGCTTGAACGACTGGTTCCATGATAGATTGTTTTAATATATCGACAGATTTTTGCTGCTTGACCTGTTGTGCCATCACTCGTGGAAACTAAAACATTTCTCAATTTCGAAAGTTTCCATTTAGCAGGGAAATTACACATATGATAATATTTCAAATCATTTCCATATATCTGGTAATAACATGGTGTTTTCTTGAAAATTCTTATATAAACAGCATTTTAGGTGCACAATAACAAATTAAATTTTTCAGATTTTATTTCCATCAGTATTGAATTGCACAATTTTGTGGGTTCTTATACAGAATTTATAAATTTACAATAAGTAAAGAAACTTTACATATGTCTTATATATTATATTTTCTAACAAATATAGAATGTCTTTTAAATATATAATGTTTAACATATTATGAGTAAAAAATGATCCTGTTTGTCAGAACTGGACAATTAAGTGTAAATCAAATCTACAGTATACACACAAGAAAATCTTCCTCCGAGAATATCTGTCATTTAAAAATAAAATGAACAACAATAGCAAAATACCAACATTTTCTCTTGTCTAGGTTTTAATGAAGGACATTTCTACTCCTGTTCCACCTGATGATGTGAAGAAAGTGGTCCGTAAATGTCTTGAGAAAGCTGCTTTGATAAATTACTCTCGCCTTACAGAGTATGCTAAAATTGAAGGTTTGTACTTTGGTGTCTACAGCAGAAAACGCCTGAGAAAACCAACAAGGTCTATTAACTGAACCGTCTAATAAAAGTCTCTCTTTTTTCCCCCCACTTCTTTTCTGAACAAACCTGAGCAATTGCGACTGCAAATGTCTCATTAAAATCTCAGCTGGTGAATTGTAGAACCTGTTCCTATTCACTCTGCTAATCTGTCTCCTGGGAACCCGCTGCACTGCAAACCTCTATTTAACTCCTCCCTGTTGCTTTCTCCCCTTTCCTTTGTAATGTCACTGCATTCTGGAATAGTTCTCATTTCTCTTCTCTTTAAAAAGGAGTACTCATATGCAATCTCCATCTTGATTTTTAGCTTTAATCAATGAAGATAATGTAATACACTTTCCTAATATTGTATTAGTAAGAAAATGTATAGATTTTCCTAATATTGCATTAAAATCACATTATAGTTTTTTTCTTGAGTCTCACCTACTTTCTCATTAAGAATATTAGCAGATTCTAAACATAAATTCTAAACAGATTCAAAACATATAATTGCAGCTGGATTGTCCATCAAAATATACCCTTGTTTGCTACAATTACTATTTTTTTAAAATAAGATACATACATGAAAAAAATATTTTTGTTGTAAAAACTCACAAGAAAAAATATCGATAGCATATATTTAAATACCATAAATCAGTATGCTGCTATGGTCTTGCAAAGCATGAATAAAATACTGGAACATCTACAGGTTTTAGACATCTCTTTTTGGAAAAAAAATACTTTGAAGGTTTATTTTGAAATTGTTCTGATGAAAGCCATTAAAATTTCTCATTTATTTTTTATGTATGACTGCTTTTTGTGCATTACTTTGAGGGTGAAGTACAGTAGAAGACTGTGTCCAAGAACATATGCCTTATTTCTTTGTTTATATTTCTGTAGACACAATAAATCTAGGTGCACCTACTAAAAAGCTGGAAGATGTAATACGCCTTGGAGAACTGTGCATAGAGGTACTTCAGCAAAATGAAGAACATCATTCGGAGGTAAGGAAGGTTCCCTGTGTTTATTAAGACCTGTTACTCACAAAAGAGCTAGGTTTAAGTAGTTTCTTTTTTAGATGCATTTCTTCTTTAAGAAATATCATTGTGGGCAATGCATGCTATAATTATTTGTCCTAAATCGTACAGCTTCAGGTAATTCTGTTTTGGTAAGGGGACCTTTCTGTACTGAAAATGAAAAATAGTTTGTAAAACCTTAACATATGTAGGTAGATATATGCCAAGCATAGATTTATCCAGTTCCTGTACATCTCTTCTGTTACCTTTAGTAAGGCTTTGTGCCTCGATAACTGTACTGCACAATTGTAGTTTTCTAAGTACAGTGTGAAACCTAATTTTTTAATGACACAATTATAGTCTTTTCCAGTAAAATCTGTGTGGAAATAAGTTTTGTCATCTGGGGAAGATCTGGTTCTTTTATTGTCCAGAGAATTAGAGGGCAAATTTGTACAAACCTTTGCAACAGTTCATGGGGGGAAGATGCCAAAGTTGTGGTCAATAGTTACAGTAGATGCCAAAGGCTATTGAGAGGCTGTCTTGCAATTGGCAGAATAGGTCACTTACTGCTACTGTCTTATGAAGGCCCCTTTAGGGTGGGTGTTGGTGGTTTCTCTCCAAAGTAAGCAATTTTGATGTTTTGGAAATGCTCAAATTCCTGTGCAAATAAGGGAGAAGAATGGAGGAGAATATTGTAAGATAATCTGAATATTCTATTCATGGATAGAAAGGAGAACAGAGCTGGAAAAATTTGATATTACCAGTAGAGATATCCAGTGTACCTCTTTTCTTAAAAAAAGGAAACCAAAATTTTGATTTTTTAAAAGAGATTGACATCACCAGCACAACATGGCTTGACTGTAGCAAGGCATTTATCATGCAGAATACAATGAAACCATGTAGGGTAAGAGGAATTTCGCCAGAAACTGGTGAATGTATTGAAAAGCCATTCACTTGCTGTTTAATTGCACAGCTGGCTGAGGTGCAAGAATGTAGGCTCCATTTGGCAGCTGGTACTGTAGCCTTCCTACCTGTGCAGAAAGTCACAGTGTATTTTTGAAAGGCTTAGAAAATTAAAGATGTGAATAAATTAAATGTCAGCACTAAAATTAGTTCTGTGCAGATGTTTTGCAGGTACAAAAAGCAAGCAAAGCCCCAGCTATTCTCACTTCCCTGTTGTAAATTTCACACCTACATTAAAAAATAAATAATTTGCAATGGACATATGTGAATTCATTATGATTATTTGTATTGGAAAAAAACAGATGCTGAATTATTGATTAAAAAAGACCCTCATTAGCATGTATTCCAATGTAGTCTCAGACATCTGTTCATGATGAAAAAGGCTTTCTTTCATGGGGCTGCACAAAATAATGCTTATGTTAGTGCACTTAAATAGTAAATAAATTCAAATCAGCTCACTTTAGATATTATAGAGATATTGTTTGCTTTCTGCATATCTAATACAGTTAATTGAAAATGCCTTTGATGTGTTGCTTTATAAATATAATCATAAAGCATTTAACATGTAAGAAGGAGGTGAAGAAAAAATGTCTGGAGTGTTCCCTCAAACATTGGTAAAATGTTTATTTAAAAGATATCTTAGAAAATATATAGTAAGGTTTTATCAATGAAAGTCTTATCAAATGTTTTATGTTCTTTTTCTACCTTATAAACAAATGGCTTCATACAGGGAAACGAGGTATGTAGATTTTGTGAATATCTGTTTTTTAATTTCTTTCGTGATGATACATTGTCAGCACAGTGCTTTATGATCTCTTAGGTGCTTTAAAAGTTACTCTCACATCATCATTCCCATGACTGGAGTGTACTTTATCAAAAAGCTATTTAGTGGTAGTTACACATTATTCATAAATGTGAAATTACCATAATATGATTTTTTGTAGATTTCATGTTATGATCTACCATTTCTAAACATACTCACATACAGAATTTAACATTTATGATATGTAAATTGTTTTTGCATTTAAAGTAGACTCTTAAAAAGGTTAATGAGTGACACATTCACTTAGAACTTCAAATTAAGATGATTGCTGTTCTTACACCTCAATTCTGCGTGCTTCCACATACTCAGATTCCGCTATATAATATGGTTAAAACAGTGCAAGATAAGCGAGTACTTAACTAAACAAAACAATAAACTATGCATGAGGCAATGTAAAAAAATGCATCATTCAGTACACAAGAGAAAATAACCCCAATGTATAAACCTTTGGAAAAAAGCACTGTGATCCTCTGACAAAGTTTTGAGTCCTGTGCCTGTTTTGTAACAAGGTCACCATTTTGTAGATGCCATATATAGTGAAAAACTATATTTTGTTCTTTCTGATGTTTTAGAGTGTTCATAAATAAATATGTAATTAACCAGTTTTATTTAAAATCAATTAAATTGAATGTCTCTGAATTCTTGTGGCATAAATCATAATCATTGTGTTTAGTAGATAAGTTTGACTGGAATAACCCACAATGCATTAAACTGTGTTTATTGGTGATATTAATGATATGGTATTTTTCAAACAGTTTTGAAGATTTTAATACATTTTTATCAAATCTGTAAAATAGCACATTCAAGTATGTACTGTACTAAGTATTGGCATATTCCTGTGAACACAAGTGCATATCATAGTATTTTCTAGTAGTGTCTATTGTATACATCTGTGCCTCCAGTAATGTGTATGAAAAAGTAATACATTTTTAGGATTAAGCAAGAATTTACTCATTTTAAATATGTTTCAATTGTCATGCCATTTTGTCTGCTCATCTGTGTGTTGTCCACATACAGCATAAACAAATGGTTAAAAAATGGAGATGATGAAGATGTCTAGTTCTAGGCATCCAAAACCTTCAAAGTGATTTTTATTGAAAAAGTCAGGTATACAATTAAAACCATAATTGTGTAAGAAGGATATAATGCATTGGTAAATTGGTTTGAAATTTTAATTGTATTGTAGACTCTGCAACCTGACTCTTTGTGTCAAGTTCCAACAGCTAGCAGACAAATGACACCACCAGAAAACAGGGAATATGGATATTTCAAAGGGTAGTTTTCTAAAGAGTCAATTCCATCAGTTATATTAAAGATTACCATAATGGCAGTTTTCACAGATGCTGAAATAAAAAGTCATGATGTTATTCAGGAGAATTCTTTATCATGTTTATCCATACTCTACATTTTTTGACTTTGTGAAAAGATAGTTCACAAAAGGCTGATACCAAGCATTCTCAAGGCTAGATAAAGTATTAAGAGAGCTGAACAAGGTTGCAGAATGTTAAGGTAACGACAGTTTTAATGTCATTAGTCTTCACTTTTGTATTACATTTTAAATAATTTAAGATTACTTTGTTCTTTATTTTTTGATGATGTTATTTTGTTTCTTCCAACTACTCTGTAATTCATCACTATTTTTGACATCTGTTTTAACATGAAATTAACGTCTAGGAGAGCAGAGACAATGTAAGGGAAGGATGAATGTATTATCTGTGTTAAAAGTAAAAGAACAAAACAGCTGTCAAGATGTTTTGACAAAGTGTAAAGGTACTGTAATTAGGGTGAAGCCTGAATGCTTCCATCTATATACACCTGTAAGTGCTTTTGATTTTTTAAATGTTTTTGAGTGGATTTTACTCTGGGTGTAATTAATTTATTAATTGCAGTTATCAAGTAACTATTTGTCTTGATAACGTCATTATAAATCATTTTTATTTCCCATTACAACAAAAAAGCTTTGTGTGCTGAAACACAAAATAAAAACTTTAATAGAACCATTGAACAAATAGGTTATTGCCATGGATTTTTTTAAAGTACAGTAGAAAACAACAATATTTGAAGCTAAAATCTAAGAAACCTAAAATCTAAGAATTTCTTTTTTATTACCAGTGTCCTACTGAATGATATATTTTTTCATCTTTATTTTTAATAAATATTGCATATTATTTGA